CAAATAGTCATCAAATCTAGATAAAATACACAAATTGCTGGAAACACACTACTATCAAAACTCAAGAAGAAACAAAAAATATAAACAGATCTATATACAAACATCAGATAAAATAAACTTTAAGTCAAAAATTGTTACAAGATGCAAAGAAATGCACTATATTTTGATAAAAGGGCCAATGTATTAAAGAACATATAACATTTATAAGTATATAGGCCTCTAACAACAGAGTCCCAAATTATATGAAGCAAAAATTGACAGAACAGAAGGGAAAAGCAGATAATAATAGTGGAACACATCAATACCGCACCTTCAATAATGAATATAAAAGTTAGGCAGAAGATCAATAAGCAGATAGAGTACTTGAACAACACTAGATCTATACAATATACACAGAACCCTCCACCCAACAACAGGAGAATACACATACTTCACAAGTACATATGAAACATTCCTCCAGGTAGACCATATGTGTAACCACAAAAGAGTCTCAGTAAGTATAAGAAGATGAAAATGATATAAAGTAGCTTCTGTAATCTGAGAAACAAAAATAGATGCTCCTTTATCAACTAAGATGGACCCCAAGGTTAAGGAAACAAAAATTAGCTATGCGCTAAAGGTTCAGGGCTCAGCTGGCATGTCAATTCCCTAAATTTCTATGGCTACAAAACACACACACACACACACACGCATGCAAACACACCTTGCTAAACCCTTTAACAGGAGCTATCAGACAAATTGCCAGATTCCCTTCCTAACTGATTTACAACCGAGACCACTAAAATTCTGACTGGACAGAGAATCTGCCTTACAAGAACTCCTTCCTGAAAGGCAACTGCAGGCCTTAAGCCAGTTTCAGCAAGCTAATAGAGACTGAACAAATTCTTTGTGTTTTATAGTCAGCCTTTCAATAGACAGAGCCAAATTCTACCTCGTTTTAATGCTAAAACCCACCCCAAAGTGAACATGGAACGTAAGTTACATATATGTCTACCCATTGTACATGTGTTCAACCCCCCTCATAAATATTTATAGCTTTACCCAAAACAAGCTGAATACATAAGACCCTATTGTTAATACAGACCCTTTCCCTTTGGAAGACAGAGTGCCTTCAGTCCACACCAAAGATCATATCTTCCCAAACTGCAAGTTGATGTCACAATAAATCTCTTCTTTCTACTATTAAGCCATCCTGGTGGTCATTTGGACTAGACTTCTATCCCACAAAAGAAAGAAATCAGAAAGCCTTAACAGAAGGACATCTAGAATGTATACGAACATGTGGAAATTGAACACCATACTTCTAAATAACAAACAGGTCAAAAAAAAGTGTAAGGGAAGTTAGAAAATACTTGCAGATGAATGAAAATGAAAATACAACTTACCAAAAAGTATGGGTTGCAGTTAAAGCAGTACTCAGAAGGAAATGTATGGGTGTAAGTAAACACCTATACTTAACAAGAAGAAAGATTTCAAATCAATTACTTAATGTCACACCTTAAGAAACTAGAAAAAGAATGAATTAAACTCAGAGCTAGCAAAAAGAAGGAAATAATAAAGAGTAGAAAATATATAAACTAGAGAAGATAAAAAGCAATAAAAAATGGTTTTTGGAAAAAATGCAATAAAGTTGACAAACATTCACATAGAGAAATCAAAGCAGAGACATTACTACCTACCTTTCAGAAATAAAAAGGATAACAAGAGAACACTATAAACCATTGTAGGCCAATAAATTAGGTAACCTAATGAAATAAATTGCTAGAAACACACAAACTACCAAAACTGACTCAAGAATAAACAGAAAATATGAATAGGTCTATAACTAAGTAAGAGTTTGAATCAGTAATCAAAAACCTGCCAACAAAGAAAAACCCAGAATCCAAAAGCTTCAGTAATGAATTCTATCAGGTAAAGAAGAATTAAATAAAATTCATCTCACTTTTTTCCAAAAGGATAGAAGAGGAAGTAACATTTCCTAACTCATATTATGAAGCTAGCATTACCCTGGCACCAATGCCAGAAAATTATATGATTACAGGCCAATATCCATTATGAATGCAAAATTCTTAATAAAAAAATAGCAAACCAATTCCAGTAGTATGGTAAAGAATACAGCATGACCAAGTAGGGTATAATCCAGGAATGCAAAGGTTGTTGAAAATATAACAATAAAAATAGAGTACACCGCATTAATAGAAGGCAGGGTGAAAATAAAAAAAAAAAACATGATAATCTCATTTCATACAAAAGTAGTATTTAACAAAATACAAAATCCTTTCATTATAAACCCACAGCAAATATCATACTCAACAGTGAAAGACTGAAAGCTTTCCTCCTAAGATCAAGAACAAGACAAAGATGCCAATTTTGCCACTTCTACTAAACATTGTGCTAGAAGTTCAAGCAAGAGCAATTTTGAAAGAAAATGGTGTAAAATGTATCCAGGGTGGAAAGGGAGAAGTAAAACTATTGCTATCCACAGACAACATGATCTTCTATACAAAAACTACTAAAGATTTCACAAAAACAAAACAAAACCAAAAACACTATTAGAGCTAACAATGGAATTCAATCAAGGATGCAGAATCCATTTTTTAAAAAACCTAGTGTATTTCTATACACTAGCAATGAACAAAGTATAAAGGGAATTAAGAAAATTCTACTTATAATAGCATCAGTACTAATAAAATACTTAGAAATACATTTGTCAAGAGTTACAGCACTATACTTATACACTGAAAACTGTAAAATGCTACTGAAAGAAATTAAACAAGTTCTAAATAAATGCAAAGCTACCTGTGTTCACAGATTAAAAGACTTAATATTGTTAAGGTGGCAATAATATCTAAAGCTATGTCCAGATCCAATGCAATCCCTATCAAAACGCCAATGGTGATTTTTGTCAGAAATGGAGAAGGAGATGCTAAAAATCATATGGAATTAAAAACAATCTCAAATTACCAAAACAGTGTTAAAAAGGAAGAACAAAATTGGAGGACTCTCACTTCTCAATTTCCAAAGTGCCACAAATCAAACAGTAATCAAAATGGTATACTGACATAAGAACAGAAATACAGAACAATGCAATAGAATTGAGAGTCTAGAGATAAGCTCATATATTTATGGTTAACTGACTTTCAACAAGGTTGCCAAGACGATTCAATGTGGAAAAAAATGGTCTCTTCCAACAAATGTTCTCGGGCAACCAGATAGCCATATGCAAAATATGAAGTATAAGGCTGAACCCATACCTCATACTATATACACAATTAGCTCAAAATGAATCTTAGACCGAAGTGTAATAGCTAAAACTACAGAAGGAGTAAATCTTGATGACCTCAGATTTGGCAACATATTCTTAGAAACGCCACCCAAAGTACAAGAAACACAAGGAAAAAACAGGTAAATTGGACATCATCAAAATTAAAATCAATTGGGTATCAAAGGACATTATTAAGAAAGTGAAAAAAGAACCTATAAAATGGAAGAAATATTTGCATATCACATATTAATAAGAATACAGTATTCAGAATATATAAAGAACTCTTACAACACCACCAAAAAGACACAAACCCAATTTTAAATTGAGCAAAGGACTTGAATAAACATTTCTCCAAAGAAGATACACAACTGACTGATAAGCGCATGAAAAGATGCTCAACAACATTTGCCTTTGGAGAAATGCAAATCAAGTCTCATAATGCTTCATTTCTATTGGATATCATCTCTTTTATAAGTTCCAGTACACTTTCAGCTTTTTTTTTTTTTTTTTTTTTCTAAACAGTCTCACTCTGTCAGCCAGGCTGCAGTGCAGTGGCATGATCTCGGCTCACTGCAACCTCAGCTTCCTGGGTTCAAGTGATTCTCCTGCCTCAGCCTCCCAAGTCACTGAGACTACAGGCCCACGCCACCATGCCCGGCTAATTTTTGTATTTTTAGTAGAGGCAGGTTTCCCCATGTTGGCCAGGCTGGTCCCAAACTCCTGACCTCAAGTGATCCACCTGCCTCAGCCTCCCAAAGTGCTGAACCTGAAGAGAGCCACACTTTCAGGTTTTCTAAGACCTGATCTACCTATTAGACAGACCCAGGGGCTGGAGAAAAACTCTCAATGTATTTCTGGAGAAGAAGAGAGAGAGGGGAGGGCAGGGAAGGGAAAAGGAGTAGTGAGGGGAGGGGAGGGCTGAGGAGAAGGAAAGAGAGGAGAAAAGAAGGGAAGACAGGAGAAAAGTAAGGAGATAAAAGACAGAAAATGAGGCTGAACTTCTCTTGTTTTTTCCCCTTAAAGCTTCATGCCTCTCAACTGTGTTTCTAAAACTTCAATCCTAGATGGCCAAAAAAGAAACAGAAGGGAAAGTTGGAGAAATGGTTAAATACAATCCAACTCTGATAGCAGATAAATAATGATTAAAAAAAAAAAAAAAAAAAAACTAAAAAAGGAGGTAGGAAACTAGCAAGCAATAACATTTGTGATGAAGGGGGAGGGGTGCCCTACTGTCACTGGGACCTCTTAAAAACACATGGGTAGGTATTCCTAAGTGGTCATTCATAAACCATTATAAATATAAAGATAAATATAAAGGTATAAGTATAAAGTCCAATTCTTTGTTTTCCAGAAAATACTGGGCCTCTACTCCACATTATCAAGAAAAGCATACTAAGCTGAATGTTTCCTCTGGTGTATGATATTAACCCATCTTATAATAAGATGATTTTACAAATTAAATCATTAAACCTAAATAGCATGACTTTCCTTACACTAAATTCCACTCTACAGTAAATTATCATAACAGTGTTATTGAGAGAGCAAACTTTTCATTAGTACATGAATCAGTAGAATTCTATTTGAGGGGTTAATAGCACTAAGTCAAAGTAGAGAACAAAATATATTCAGATGTATAGTGTTTATATTGTAAAAATGCTGTGAGTAATTAACAACATTTTTTAACTCTTAGTTATGTGTTCTCCATTTGCTTTTCTAATAAATTGTATAGACTTACCTGAAAATGTAAAGAACAATTCATTTTGCAAACCAGCTCTTTGCATTTTAACATGATGGCATTCAGACTTAAGTAAGGAAATTTCACATGAAAGGTCAAGAAGCAGTTTGCTTAAAATCTGAATAAGTTTCTTCTCAAAAGAAATATTATAAATACTGTTGCAGGGAGCTGCATGATATCGAGCTGTGAACTGATAATAATAATGAGGCTCACGATAAGCTGTAAAAAATTAAGAAGAGAAAGACAAAAAATGGTTACTTAAATAATTCAAACATATTGTAACTATTTAAGAAATATGATTACTTGGTATAAATTCTTGGCACATGTTTTTAGATACAATTATATTTATTTTTAGTTCACCAACACTTATCTTGTACCAACACTTATCTAAGTACCAACACTTATCTAAGTACCAAATACTATGATTGACACTTTACAAATAGTGACTCATTTGAATCTCTCAGCATCATTAAGATTTTCTATCTGTCATAAAGAAATTGAGGGAGGCAGGGATTATGTCACATGTCCAATGCCTATGCTTTCAAAACTAAGATTGTAACTTATGGAGCCTGGTCCCAGAGCCTATTCTATTAACCTCAACACTATGCTGCTCAAACTCAGGTATAGCACTTCTCTAAGTTAAATATTTATCTTGGAAGAAATTAAATTCATATAATTATGAACAATATTCAAAAATACGTTTCTAATAGATACACAATTAGTTTTATTGAGTTGAGTACAACAGCTGGAACTGAGAACACACACACACACACACACATATATATTTTAACCATCCCAAATTCTCACTGAAATGACACAAGAAAAATAAAAATGAAAAGAAATTCACTACAATACCAAAAGTCAGAAAAGTTCAACTTCCAAAACAGGGCGCTCTGTTGCTACTTCTGTCCAACAAGGGAGACTTCCCTGCCTGTTCCTGGATTATGCTCAGGAAAAGCTTCCTGCATACACTGAAGTGCACCCAGTCATTGTTTACTTTCCTACCTACACATTTAAGCTAAAATTAAGTACACATAGTTAGCTACCGTCCATCTTTGTATTCGGAGTAGAGACCAGACAGCTTCTAATTGCTAAGGAAACCTCTATAGGTTTCATTTCTGAACAGGAATTCTAACATGCTTTTTGTACTGATTCATCCATCAGCGTAGGTACACATTTATCATATATACATACATATATCATGACTTATAATATCAAAGATATGTAATATATACAAATATCACATAGAATAACTGAACCTGAAGGGTTAGAGCTGGAAACTGTAGTGAGTCACAGTATGACTGGGGACAAAGAAAGAAAACTTTTTCTCTCCAGAAATCTGACCCATATGAAGGTATTTCCTGAAATAGAACTAAGTCTGAATTTAAGTCAAAATATCCCCCAAATTCTCTGAAACACTGTATCAAAAGTATACTCTTCTGAGCATCCAGCAGAAGTACACACAAACCAGCAACAATTCAGGATCAGCTTATGTGCATAAAAGAGTTAACGCTGCAGGTGGGAGGCTGCTTGCAGGATTAGCCCTTGGCTGGTAAACACTTCCCTCCACAAGACAGGAATCCTTTTCTTCACGATAAAACTGTCTTTTTAAGCACCTGATGCACTGAACATCTTTCCGCCTTCTGGGAGTCTGAGATTGTTGGAGTTGCTAGGCAAAAGTGCCTGCAGAACTGGTCCCTAATAAACATTCTGGATGTGTTACTGCTTTATTCTGTTGCTTTTGTTTTTTCTTCAAAAGCTCTCTGCAAATCCTAAAGTGTCTTCAAGAAGATTCATGGAATAGACTTTAAATACACTTAAGTACAGTTTTCCAACATCACTGAGATAACACGATTAGACTGGTTAAGAATTTGAATAACTCCCATTTTAAAAACTGGACTCATAAAATTGCTAATCTAACATCAAGCAGAAAAAGAATTATGTGGGACTCAACTGATGCAGGACTAAAATGATTTTTAATGACTTTTTGTTGAAAACATTGCTAATTATTTTTTGTTTCTTTTTCCAGAGTCGAGAAAGCTTTTTTTTTTTTTAAGCTACTTATAGTTTGCAGGAATTGAGTAAAGTATATTTTTGTTAGCAAAATCAAAACATTTACCTTTCTCTCTGATTTCTTCTGAATTGAGAAACTAACTATAAATATTTTTATTTTATGGCAATATAGTTATTTGCATAACATTAATAAGAATCTGTTTCCTTTCATAATAAGACACAGTTAAAAACACATATTACAAAGGCTTTGATTGGGATGTCACATTTTCAGGTATGACCAGGCTGCTTTAAGGAACTAAAGGTTAACTAGGATCCAATTAATCTCTTGGAAAAACTGGCCAAGTACGCTGTCTACATGGTTCCTTTACAGGGTTACTAGCCTTGTGGTAGGTAAAAAAATATCAGTTTCTGAGAAGTGCAGAATACTCTAAATACTTTGGGGACTTCAAGAAAAAAATTCACTCAAGTACTACAGGTAAAATCTGAGGGTGAGTCCATGGCTTGACTTCCTAACCTGGAGAGTATTTTAAGTCTTTTCCTTATGACAAGTTCCAGCAAAGCCAACTTTAAAAGAGCCTATAATAAGGTCAATCATTATTGTTTCTACAGTTTATTTATTTATTTAGAAATGGAGTTTCGCTCTGTCGCCCAGGCTAGGGTGCAGCAGTGCCATCTCTGCTCACTGCAGCCTCTGCCTCCCAAGTTCAAGTGATACTCCCACCTCAGCTGCCCAAGTAGCTGGGATTACAGGCGTGCAGCACCATGCCCGGCTAATTTTTGTATTTTTAGTAGAGATGGGGTTTCACCATGTTGGCTAGTCTGGTCTTGAACTCCTGACTTCAAGTGATCCACCTGCCTCGGCCTCACAAAGTGCTGGGATTACAGGTGTAAGCCACTGCATCCGGCCTTGCTACAGTTTATATAACTAATCAAGCCAACCATAATGAGGCTAAAACTTATTTTACAACAAAACTGGACTCACTGTGATCTTTGGTAGAAACAGGTGACCAGAGAGAGAAAAATTATGTTTCAAGAAAAATTTAAAAACTATAGTGCGCTCGTTATTAGATTCTAGCTTTGTCCATTTGCTTTTGAGGGTTTTTAAAAAATTATCTAGGCTGAATCTTGAATTTTTAGTTTCTTCTAATATCTGACTATGACTCTCCAGACTAAAATTTCCAATATTTCTCCCACTCACTCATCTGACTCTAAATCCCTAGACATCAAAACTGCTTTTCCTAAAGTCCTGCAAGTTAATGCTAGACAACCTGATATAAACTTTGGAGAAATCACTACAACAACTTATGTATGTACAGAAAGTTCAGTGGAACCCGATTCAAACGACAATCTGGGAAAATCTATCAAATTGCCACTCCCTGTCCATCCCAACTGAAATTTTTTGAGTCAAAATCTAAAATATTCTCAGCTGACTGCCCTCCAAACTCAAAAGACTAGTTTGCAGACTGCTCCAGATATTAATTTTTGTTTTTCTGTGTTTTCCATAAAAATGCTGCCAACTAAATACCAGTGTGCCTATACCAGATAGAGACTAAATTTGAAAAAAATTCACCTATAACACCACCTCCTGAAATTAGGCTCATCTGTTCAACTAAGCTAATTACTCTCAAGACGAAGAGACTCATTCGGTAAGACATGGAACCCAATTTGTTGCTTTCTACTTGTTTCAATCTATTTCTCCCCCTTTGCCAGATTAGAACCTCTAACCCAAATCTCCCCAAAGCTACCAACTTGGACTTTAATATGTAAAACTTTCTAAAACTAAAGCTGTAAAAGGGGGACTGAAGAAAAACAAAGTATTTCTCCCCCAAATATTGAGGGCTGTAAGGTTAAAGACGCTGAAAATGGAGGGGACCATTCAGGCCTTAGCCTCCATTTGCCCAATGGCAGGACACCAATCCTTCCTTACTGGAGATAACGTTTGCTAATCTGTCCAGAGAAAGCACCAGCAGGCACCAAAGGAATCTGGGAACAGATTTTACTATCATCCCACATTTTCTAACCTTTTAGAAGACTGGAATTGCTCTCTCCTTTGTTTTGTCACTAAATTGGATTTATGACTGTTTGTTAAAATATTACGTAAGCAAGGCCCCTAAGGTACCAATAGGAGATACTTTTGAATTGAGGCCTCTCCAGCATGATAGGTACAGCACATGCATAAACTTCTGCCACTTTCTTCCTTGTTAACCTGGCTTTTGTTTTCAGCAGCGTCTCAACTAAGAAGTTATTCAATTGCCAGTACAGTTCAAGGCCACTGCCTTGCTTTCTACTAAATAGGTGACAGGAATTTACCTACCATAAGTGCAAATATCAACACAGTAGAAATAGCAAATAAAATCTTAGTATAATTACTAAATTAGTTTTCACCTTACTGATCCCTTGAAAGTGTCTCAGGGACTCCCAGAGTTTCACAGACCATAATTTGAGAACCACTGATCTATAGTCAAAGTACTGTTAGAAATTGACAAGAGCACAAAAACAGGAAAATAGGCAAAATATATAAATAGAAAATCTTATATGGGAAAATGAACATATATAAATAGATGCTCAAAGATAACAGTATTAAGGAAAATGCAAATTATAAGTGATACAGTTTTTTTACACCCACTATATAAAGAGCAATAAAACCTATTTTGTTGGTGGTAAGGATACAAAGAAGTATACGTACATTATTAAAATATAATAAAATGTAAAAATGTAAATCCTCAAAATGTTAAAGAAAGGAATAAATTAAGAACAGAAAATTATAAAACAAAAACAGGTGAATATGACCAAAAACAAGTGGGGATTATAAAAATGCAAGGTCTAATATATTGGAGAATGAAAATATAGTCATTGAAATAAAAAGAAAAAAATCACCAAAGTTAAAAAATAAATAACTTAAGTGAAATACATAAGCTAAATGGCAGATATAACATACCTGAAGAAACATTTGGTAAATCGTATGAGAGTACCTAAAATACACCACATTTAAAGATTCTGGTATATGAAAGACAAGCTAAAGGTTTTGAATGATAAGTTAAGAAATCCTAATAAATATGTTCATTTGTTTGTTTTGAGATGGAGTCTTGCTCTGTCTCCCAGGATGGAGTGCAGTGGCTTGATCTCGGCTCACTGCCACCTCCACCTCCCGGGTTCAAGTGATTCTCCTGCCTAAGCCTCCCGAGTAGCTGGGACTACAGGCGCCT